CGTGATATATATATATATATATATATATATATATATATATCTATATATCACGTCTAGCTAGGATGGATTCCCTTCAGATTTATATGTCTTAAATTAAGCCCCTTGCACCATTAATGTTATCTAATCATCAGGTAAAATCACAATAATCGAGGTTGAAGTGATAAGGATAGAGCCCCCAAAGAAAACCACTACCTTCCGTGCATGGATAGCAAACCCGAGCAGCGAACACGAGATCAAATTGGAGGTTACAGATGAAAGGATTGTAAAATGGACTGTCTCCCAGCCACCTCCAGCTGATGATTACCTCAAAGTTTTGGAATCTGTCAGCAAGGCTGTTGATAATTGCTTTGGGCAAAATCAGCCAGCATAATAGAGCATGCATGCATGCCCCTTCTAATATGTAGTGTTACTAGTATCTGTATTGAGAAATAAAATTCCGAGCGGTGCATGCGTACATGCATGTTCCCATCAGCTCATAATGAAGATTTACTGCGTCTTGTCTAGCTAGCTACCATATTCACAGAGATGGCGAGGTGCTTGGCCATGAAAGGGCAACGCCTTCATAATCATGTGGGTATTTATGTAATAAAGCTAGCCACCCCTCTATGTATCTTGTTTGTGTCGATTTAAATTAATAATATGTGTGCCTTAATTACTTAAAACTAAAGTATGCATTTTTTCCGTTATTATATATATGTGATGTTGGCGATAAGCTTTAATTTTGTTCTACGTGCTCTTTCTTTTCGTTCAATAAGTAGCTGGAGGATAACTCAAATACTACTTTGCCAAGACTTCAATATTTATGGCAATCAAGGTATGATATAATCTACATTTTTTCTCATACTAGTATAGAAAAACGACCAAATTAATTGTCAAAGACGTACATTATATGTTTTTGGTGAGATGGGCTTATTGTATATAATAAGCAAAAAGCATATCAAAATTAAGTTAATATTATGGGAAAAGTTTAACATGATGAAAGGATGTTGTGTAATCGTAGAAAACAAGCACAAATTAAGCTTTCAAGCTGTCAAAAATGGTATACGTACGTACACCTAACCCTGAAATACAATAAACTTGCATGACTTTGCTTGTTGTCTTAATATGGTTAATGGAAGTGTAGCATTAATCGAAGGAAAATTCTACAATACGTTAGCTGATGGAGGTGAGGTTGTCCAGAAAAATTAATGCTAATTGCTGCAGAGATTTCAATTGGATGTTCTCGTAGAACCTCTGGAAGAGGAGATTATGAATCAATCAAACAGATTAAAAAAAAAAAAAACAGTAAATTGGGGGTGGAATTTATAACCTACAATTTAATTGGATTTTTGTTAACACAATTTTAATTCGCTTTCAGTCACGGATTTTGAACAAAATATATATTAAATTTAAGAAAAAACTTTGTGCACATGTTATTCTACAGGGGAAAAAAACAATTACAAAAAATTGACGGGTATTTTACAGTATTATTATGTATTTTTTTAATTAACTGATATCAAATTTCGGAAATTAATGATTTTATCAAGAAGCATCATAATAGGAAAACATGAAGAAGAAAAAAGATTTTTATTCTTGTTTTCATTAAAGGTTGCTTAAATTGTGATCCCTTGATGTAGAATAGTCTACAGGAGGAGAGGAAGAGTAGATCGCAGGAGGAAGAGCAAATTGCAGGATATAATATAAATGCAGAGAAATCAGGAACTACAGTTGCCATTGGAGTATTCTTCCAGCAGATTGCCTCCTTATTTAGGAGTCCTAATTAATGTCGTAATATCAGGATTTATTTACTTTTCTAGC